TCTTCAGTGGACACAGCAGGCCAGTTGCTGACCTCGCTAAAAGCTAAGTCGCTTGATGTTAGCAAAGTCCTCCAGAACCAGACCAACATCAGAACTTGTTACTGGAAGTACTGCGGAATTTGTTTTATTTTTGCCACGGCTAGATCCATGGTTATGTACCAAAACAGCCCCCTCCCTAAGGGAAGAAATGCATTGCGTTTGCCAGTGAGAAGTGCCTTGCTTTTGTGCCACTACCCAGAACAGCAAACATTGTTTTTGTCTTGTCAATTACTGAAAGAGGGGAATAGTCACAGTGGATGCTTTTTGCCAGTGCAGTTTCAAATTGTCATTTCCAAAGACCCATATTGGTAACCGCCGGGAGCATGCCACTAGGAACAGAATAAGCCAGCTGACCTAGATCTGAATCAGCTGCAGTGACCAGTAGGTTATAGGACTAAAGCTACACAGAAACATCTTTTCTTGGCTTCCCCTAAGATCTCGCTCTCTGCCTTTTTATGAGTATGCTCCCTTGTTATACAAACATGGGTACTTCAGGGTATTTCTGGTAAGCACATCAGTGCAACCATAAAATCTGCCCAAATAATGCTAATATACTCTAACTGTATTGCACAATACAGTACCAAATGAACTTACTTTTTATGCAGTAATTTCTAGCAGCGTTATTGGGCAGTATTTTTTCCATAATGTAAACTTTGGTTAGTTTATTTATTTTTTTAATTTAACAATCGTATTTTAAACCAACCAAGCACTTTGGCTGAATATGTATAAATAAAGTTTTAATTAAAAGATTTTTTTAAAACTTCTTTTTAAATTCTAGATATAAAAATGTTCATTACCTGATGTGGAAATCACCTACACTTTTTTCAGGAATAAGAATAAAAAATATAAATAGCCATTTTGTTAGATATTGCAGTATCTCACGGGGGGGGGGAAGGGGGGAGTAAGGTCAGATTCAATTAGAAGTCAGTCCACGTGGAAAATTTTGTTGCAAAAACCAGAGCTTTCTCAGCCGTAATTTTTCATCATTCAGCCATGTCTTAAATGCCAACTGTGTGGGTAGCTGTGGACTCAAAGCAGGGTTGTGTGTTGCCTGAGGATCCCAGTATACTTTGAGCATTGTGGGAGCCTGGTGCTGTTCAGGTGCCAGGTAAATGTGGCTGTGCTGGAATGACAGCAGCACAAGTCTTGCCCTGGTGGCCAAGACCGCGTGATGGTTCTTCCCATCCAGCTTTTGAGATGCCAGCTTTCAGGTTGAACTTTTCCTCTAAAAGCATTCCTACCCTCTGCTCACGCCATGTGTCTGTGGGCAGAGGCTATGCCTGGCATTAGCACGTCTACAAGTGAAGAAAATTAAATGAAAAACAGCTTATCACCACTTTTCAATAAGAAGTAAAATTTTGGGCTCCTCTTCCCCGCTTGGAACAATTCTGTGAAAGATATGACTGGGAAAATTATATTTAGCGTGGAACAAACTTCCACCAAGAACAGCGTTGAGGAAATTGGGCTCAGTTTCACAATCTGACTGATTAGCTTTTGAAAATGTTGTACTAAGCCCATAAAATATGCTCATAAAGTGTTCAGGCAAGGAAGGATTTTCTGAGCATATACATATGGCGACGTTAGCTATACAGTGAAACGAACACCACAAAATATCCAGTGGCTAACTGCATAGCAGACCAAATATCTGGTTTCTTGGGATATGTACAATAGGGCATCATCTTTGATATTTAAAAAAAATGCATGCAGTATACTGCTGGTTAATATTATTATGAAAATACATTCCTTAGAGGGAAGGAATTATATTACATATAAAGTCTGAAATGATAAAGGGATATTTAGTCATAATAACATGAAAATACCATATGAGAATAAAAAGCCTGCTGTGTACTGCACATGCATTTCTGAGGCTGAAGAAAACATGATATTGCGCTTGAGGGAGGAGCTAGGTAGTGATGAAACTAAACTCCACTGTACTGGAAATGCATGAGGGCTTCAGGAGGTCTGATCAAGTCTAACCTGGGTATTTTAGGACTTGTGAGCTTAACCCAACTTGAGTTTTCCTGAGGTTTTTTATGGAGTAGTTTTAGTTTATTACTCAACAAATGGGAATGCGTTGATTTGCCTTTTTAGAAAGATAATTTGTCTGATGTTGACTGTGTGACTGGATTAAACTTACATAATGTGTCTTTCAGAGAGTGACTAATTGAAATGTACTGCAAACCGTGGATGACTTTAAAATCAGTTCTGTGGAGTCTTCATAATAAGACTTACTGATTGTGAGATTAGTACCAGAAAATATGCATACATTATCCAGCTAACACAGAGCAAATAGTGCTCAAGAAAACAGCTGTTTCTTCTGCACCCTGAAGGACGACCCAGGGGGCAAGTAAGGAAAGTGGCGTCCCAGTAGAACCTAGGCTGAACCACTCTTATGGTTGAGGTTTTAGAACAAATGAGAACATTTGAAATAGCAAGTTACAGTCTTTTCTCTTTCTTTTTTCCTTCTTTTTTCTTTTTTTTCCTTTAGTCCATATGTACAATGTAGAACCATGAAACAGATGTCTGGGTTTAGAGGTTGTTGTGTGGCTGGGTTTGGTTCTTTAGTGCTTAAGTCACTAAAATGTACAGGACCAAGAGGCTGCTCTGGTTGCGTGCTCTGCTGAGAGGTTGCTTGGCTATTACTTCCAGTCATTCCATTTTCAGTTCACCTCGATCCCATGAAATCACAACCTTAAATTAAATTTAAAAAAGACAGCCCTGCAGTTTCCTTCCTCCTGGAGTCTGCACAGCTTACTGCTCCCTGCACGTGCAATGATTGCAAATGCCTGTCACAAATAATTAATAAAAAAATAAAATCAAGATTTAGAAAACTAGTCTCGTCTCTGCAATGAGTAGGGCTACCTAGGGACAGTGGCTTGCTCTGTCTTACTTTGTTCCTTCAAGTACTAGTTAAGCTCAAGATCTGGACCTGCCGAATGACCCAAACTGCGGTCAGGAAGAGATGTACAACATAAATTTCATTCTTCATTTTGGTTTTCAAAAAGGGAGTGGGCTGTGTTAAAAAGAGCACTAGCTTGCGATGCCAAGCTCCCTAAGGTAGGCAATGGCAGAAAAATGAGGGTATGCATTATAGATCTGTGTCAACTGCCTGACAGCAGTTATATGAATTTTAATTACAATGCTACTTTATGTTGGGGAAATATATGTAAGAAATAGATAAATATATATTTTTCATAATTTTTCAGTTGCTAGCTTTATGGCTTTAACTTTCAGTCCAGGTTTCTGGTGTGCACAACTATAGTGCATACAGCACATGTGAAGGGGCTGTAAGTGTAGGTGAGCCCAGTATTCCTATATCTGTAAACAGCAGAAAACATTTTGCAGAGAACAGTAGGAAGCTGATTTATATAAAACCAATAAGCAGTCTGAGTTAGATTACTGTAACACAAAGTAACATTAGAATTAAAATTCATAATCTTATAACTACTTTCCAGATTATAAAGCATTCCAAAATTACAGCCATGAGATAGGACCTTTCCCTGTTGGGCAGTTTTGCTTACCTTTTTATTGGCATTCTAAAGATTTAATTTTCCAGGATCCAGAGATCAGTTTCTACTAATGTGACTCTAATGTGCCATTGAAAATAAATCATTTCGTCAGGATTAGGAAGAAGGAAGCTGACAATTAAGGAATAAATATGTCAAAAAACAAATATGCCCTTTACCAATGACTGAAAGGAAAATTCAGAATGCTTTATCCTACTTCTTAAGTGGAATTACACAAAACAATAGTGGTTGATTCTGATAGTAAATGTACTCCTGAAAATCTCTGGATTGCTTATTTCCAACAAATTAAATTCTCAAAGAGTTTATTTACTAATGTGAAGTTATTTATTTTTTCCCTTTTAAAAGGTAAGGGGAATTTGTGTTTCCAAGGAAGCGTGTAACATTTCCGGAACTCCACAATTTGCTTTCTGAGACTGTTGTCACTCAAAGCTGTTTGAAGAGGATGACTCCTCTGTGTTAGGTTTAGGTCCATCTTGTTCCATAAGGACTTTCACCTGATGCAGTTCTTGGGAGTGAAAGCATGAAGTGGCTTTGGCCAGAAAGAAAGAAGAGAATGAGCTCAAAAGCCTGTCTGTTTCCCCCTCTCCTGAGTCCCTACTATTCTTACACCTCACATAAATAAGGTGGTTGGTTTTTGCCATCTCTTACTCCTCACCTCACTTCATCTCCTCTTGCCATGGAGCGTTACACTTAGAAGGATGTGCAAAACAATGCCAGAGGGGCATTTATTCACCTACAGCAGAAATGAGCAGTTAAAAGCAAGACAGGCAGGTTGAGGTAGCTATTGGAAAAGTATTTCTCAATAGGATGGATCAACTGGCCTCCTGTTGGTATTGAAACTGGGAACTGAGCCAGGTGCTCCTAAGGCCCCTGTATGAGCCACTAATGCCCGACAGCTTCATCCTGTATAATCTACATCCAGTGTTTCGATTATTAGCTATTAACTTGCATTGCAGATTAGTGGTGGTGAAGCACATATGTTGATCCTTAATCTCTGCAACCTGACCCCATGCTGAAACCCAGCAGATTTTTAAAACCTGTACAGAAGGTACTGGTCGCCATGCAAGGGAACAGAGGAGGGGTTCACCATGAGCATTGCTCTCAGCTACATTGGCAGGATTGAGCTAAACAGTAATGCTGTGATCCAGCTGCAAAATACATACCAATTCCACCCAGAAGCCTGTGACAAACTGTGCTTGTCTTTGGTTGTTACTGACTCATGAGAGATAAAAATACCTTTGCTGCAGAAGGGAGAGCGGTTGTGGTGCTGCAGCCTGTAGCAACAGAAGGAAGGCTGCGCTTGGGTAGTGCAGGCTGCGCACAAGAAAGGGCCTTCTCACCTCCTAAACCTCAGTATGGCAGACAGCCCCATGGTGTAAATCACTGCCATAGTAAATCAGATCAAAGGTCCGTTTTTGCTGTCTCTTGACAAAGACCATTCCCAAATGCTTGGAGAGCACTAGGAGAAAAAGAGTGGGAGGCGACTGGCCATCGTGGTGTCCCCTCCCAGATGTCAGAATAGGGCGAAGAGCCCCCGAGCTGGTCTGCCACGGTGAGCAGCTCTGGGCAGGTATGGGATGGGCTGCCCTGGTCTTCTGAGTCCCTGTTGTACTTTGGCTCTGTGACGAGTTCAAGGCTTTAATGGTTGTGTGAAATACTGTTTCCTTGGTTTGCATGAGGGCTAGTGAGGACCAGATTGCCTTGTGCACATTTCATTGTCAGTTGCATTTGATGTGAGTATATGTGTCATTCACCTCCTGCTGATTTTGTTAATTCCTCCAGAGCAGCAATCGGGGGCAAGGGCTTTGGTGGAAGGGGTGTGCAACGAACTCTGGGTGGTGGCACTTGCGTTCACTTCCTTACTAGAAGAGCTTGTTACGCTCTATGAGTTTGACGAGCCTCTTTTTATACAAAAAGCATTAGAAAATGTCATTTTAAGGGAAGAGTGGTGAGCATCCGCAGTCAACTGCTGCCAGCCCTACCTCCTAGCGCCCAACCTGTATCAGACGGGGGGAGGTCAGGGACAG